CCCCCAATCACTGGAAATTTTTCAAAGGCAAAAAAAAATTACACTAAAGTAGTTAAAAATCACCTTATATGACATTATTTTTGTCAGCGTCCATTAATTTAATCACCGAGCCTTCCCAGTTCACCTTGACACCCCTCATGTGCACCCCTCCCCCATTTTAAGACTTGTAGATATGCCAACAACATGGGCTCTATGCCAACTACATAAGCATACTGATAATGTTTGTTAACAAAGTGATACCAATGTCGAAAGAGAAAGACAGATATGGATCCAGTGATGTAACATGGAGGGTGCTGGAACAATCTGAATTTTGAGTGAAAGTGTTTCGGGGAGGGGCTATGTGCATGTTCGCCTGTACCCTACTCCATATCTGTCAACTGAAGGACTAAACATGAGTGGGATGGAGAGGAGTAATACAATCTCATTAGATAAATATCTTTTTAGTAGTTTTGTATGTTAAATGTATAAGAATGTTAGCATGTTTAAGATACTCAAAATATTGATAGTTTGTACAATACAAATGTATAGTATTTTGACAATTTGAAGATTATATCTCCTAAATTAGGGATTTTTTTTTCTTACAAAATGATAATTTGTTTATGGTATTTGTTGTGCTATTTTGGATCGTATTTGATCAAGACTATGTGGAGGTTGTTGCCTACTACTGTACTGGCTCTTCTGTTATTTTTGGTGCTGGAACTCCTATTTCAGATTTTTTGTAATATGAAGGACTTTGATAATAAAGCCTGGTATTTCTTATACATTGTGTTATTTTTTTGTCTGATACCGTATTTAAAACCTTGAAAAGAAGACCATGGGCTTCTTTTCAAGATGGCATGGGCTTTTTTTCGAGATAGTACAAGTACAGTACACATCTTACAACTTCAAAGAAACAAATTAATTTAAAACACGCTTTCATCCCAACTCGCCATGGTTTAATGACAACATCAACAACTACAGGAGAAAATGTCGCCTCCTAGAAAGAAGATGGCGAAAGTCCCGTTGTGAATTTCACCGAGAAATCTACTGTGAACACAAGAAAATGTTATGTCATACAATTAGAAGAGCCAAATCTAATTACTACATCTCAATTTTCCAAGAACATGCTAAGGATCAAAAGAAAATTTTTAAACTTACAAACTTCTGTATAGACGAGCTCCTTCTCCACTTCCACGGATGGACACTGACCATACAATAGCAAACTGTTTCCACTCATTTTTCAATCTTAAGATACAAAAAATCTGTGAAGGTTTCTCTCAAGCGCATGATCCACATTTACTTGATCGTACAAATATAGCTGCTGTTCTCAACCAGTTTGAAGAGGTTTCAGTCGATGAGGTAATTAAAGACCATTGTTAGGAATTTTCCTTCAAAATCATGCGATCTTGACCCAATCCCAGCTGTCTTGGTTAAGAAATGTACTTCAGTTCTGCCTGCTCTGACTGCAATCATTAACAGCTCATATTTTGGCGAGGTTCCTTCATCAATGAAAGTGGCCCAAGTCCGTCCTGTATTAAAGAAATCCAGCCTTGATTACAATGTTCTCAGTAACTTCCGACCAATCTCCAAAGCTTCCTTTCTAAAACTACAGAGAGAGTTGTTGCTGCACAGTTACTTTCTTTTTGAACTAAGCATGAACTACTAGATATTCATAAATCTGCTTATAGATCTCACCACAGTGTTGAGACTGCAATTGTTAAAGTTCTCAACGATCTCTTATGCAACATGAACGAAGGATAAGTTTCTATTTTAATCCTTCTCGATCTCTCGGCTGCCTTTGATACTGTTGACTATCAAATCCCAACAACACGCTTAAGCTCATCCTTTGGAATAACTTTCAAAGCACTTAAATGGTTTTGTTCATATCTAAGTGATCGAACCTCATTTGTCCGCATTAAATGTGACACTTCTTCTAGAGAAACCTTCAAGTTTGGGCTTCCCCAAGGATCTGTCCTGGGTCCTGTTCTATTCTGTATGTATATCACATCTTTAGGCAAGATAATTAGAAAACAGGTTTCCAATACCATTGCTATGCTGATGACATTCAGATATTTTGCAGTCGACCCCTTACATTCGGTTGTTAATGACGCAGTATCTAAAGTACAAGTATGTCTGGATGAAATCTGCATCTGGCTCGAATCTAACCTGCTGAAATTAAACGAAAAGAAAACAGAGTTCATGCTGATAGGTTCGAAACACAATTTATCCAAAGCTGGAACTCACCACATCAAGATTGGTGAAACTCTAATCAAACCATCACCCACCTGCAGAAATCTTGGCATTCTTTTTGACAACACGTACCCTTTCAATGGTTCAACATGTGAACGCGGTTTGTAGATCTGCTCGT